TAGTATTATCTTCATATATAATGTCAGTTGGTATTGATGATTTACCTTTCTTTTCGTTTATGTTTGACCTAAATTTTTTAGAGTTATTCTTTAGCTCATTTTCAATATTATTTAGGTAAAGTTGATGAGCAGTTTTTATATTGTGTTTTAATTGAGATCTTATAGTTTTAACACGTTGGTGACTATTGAGGTAACCAATTTTTTATAAACTCTATACGCCCTTTCCTTATCCTTAATCATTCGAATTATTTGGTCATTGTACCAGGGTGGATATACACTCACCGACTTAAAATTCGATCCATTCAGAATAATGATTTATTGAAAACTTTCAAATCTGGCTGATTTCTTTGAAATTTTTAGCAACTTTTAGATAAAATACTGTAGTTTTAAAATTATTATTCGAACATCTAAAAGTAATTTAGTACTCTCCGGATATACAGGGGGGAGAGAAAACACATTTTTCCTCTACTTTTGACACACCCTGTAGGTTATTTCTGCTAGTAGATCTACACACAATTAACTTTGTCAAAAAGACTAATTTCTTTTCAACATTTTGTTTTTTTATTTACCCCGATATCTTAATTTTTTTGTGAAATGTGACGGTTTAAAGAAAATGCAACATTCTTAATTTTTTTATTCAGTTTTAGCAGAGTAATATATAATTTTATAAACAAGTCAAACAACAAATTAACTAATTATTATTACCAATTAATAATGGGTAATTCCCCCACGAGCGCGAATAACTGCTTAATGCGTCGTGGCATACCCTCTATTAGATGTCGAATCTCCATCTGGTCAATCTGATCCCATTATTGGACCAAGCATCTCTTAACAAATTTAAATTACTTGGAGAAGGAACTCGGTTATGAACTCGTCTGCCCATCATGTCCAAGACGTGCTCAATTGGATTAAGGTCTGTGCTACGTGATGGCCAGTTCATCCTTTAAATTTCTGTTTCGTCCAAATATTGAGATACAATCCTTGCAATATGTGGTCGAGCATTGTCATGCATAAACATAAATTCGTTTCCTATAAACGGTGCAAATGGAATTACATGTGGATCTAGCACATCACGAATATATCGGTTAGCTGTCATTGCTCCGCCACCAACAATGACTAAATCAGTACGAGCTTCCTTGCTTATGCCGCCCCAAACCATTACCGATCCTCTTCCATAACTGAGTCTTGTGGAAAAATTTGCTTGGTCAAACCTTTCGCCTCTTCTTCGGTATATTCTTTCACGGCCATCAGGAGAACGTAAAAAAAACTTTGATTCATCAGAAAATAAAATCTTACTCCAGTCTTCGACATTCCAATGTTGATGCTCTTTGGCAAATCAAAGACGTGCTGTTCTGTGATTCCTAAGTAGCTCCGGACCAGTTGCAGATCTTTTGGAGAGTAATCCATGTTCTCGTAATCGCCTTCGAATCGTTATTACGGTAAAAGCTACTTGACGTACGTCTTCTAAACGATTTCGAGCCATGACAGCAGCAGTATTTCTTTCTCGCAAAACATTTAATGTTACAAAACGATCATCTTGGACATTTGTATAACGACATCTGCCAGATCTTCTTCGTCTCGAAAAACTACCAGTTTCATTGAAACGTTGTATAGCTTTCTGGACGCTACACCTTGTAACACCCAATATTCTAGAAGCATAATTCTGAGTCTTGTACCAGAGCAACTGCTCGTGCTGCATCAGTAGGCGTTAAAACCATGATGTTATGCTGATAATGAATATTTGTTATGCTGATAATTAAACTGCAATTGCCAAGTAACGAATATTTGACAGTTGTCATATATCATGATTTTGTCACAGCACTAAAATGTAGCATTTTCTTTAAACCGTTACATTTCACAAACAAATTAAGATATCGGGTTAAATAAAAAAACAAAGTGCTGGAAACAAATCAGTCTTCTTGATAAAGTTAATTGTGTGCAGATCTACTAGCAGAAATAACCTACAGGGTGTGTAAAAAAAATTATTTTCTCTTCTCCCCTGTATATACGGCGAGTACTAAATTACTTTAGATGTCCGAATAATATTCTTAAAATAACAGTACTTTATCTAAAAGTTGCTAAAAAATTTAAATAAATCAGCTTTCGCATTTGACAGAGCATTTTTAAATAAATCATTATTTCGAATGGATCGAATTTTAAGTCGGTGAGTGTATATGAGAAGGGGTTATCTTTTTTTGAGTGTGCTTTTTAAGAACCGATGTAATTTTATCTACAATATAATTTGTAGCTGTTTCAGGATCACTAAGCTGACTAATAAAGTTCCAGTCAGTGTGAAGTAGTTCAGAATATTGAGCAGGATAGTTATTTTTTTTTTTAAATTAAGTTGCGATTTGTCTGACTTAAAATTAACTGGAAATTGATTATATCTGTTATTAAAACTGAGATCAATACCTAAGGATGAGTGATAACTGTTTCCTTTAGTAATAATTTCAATGGCTTTTGAGACCGAATAATTAATATTAGAAAATATTAAGTCCAATAGTCTGTTATCTGAATTTAAGAGATTATTGAACTATACCAGATCAAAAAAGTAAGAGAGGTTAGTAATTAACTTACATTTATGTGTTTCATTTCTTAAATTAACAAATTCGGGAACATTAAAATCACCTAGCATGATAAAGTTATGACCATATAATATCTGCTCAGAAATCTGGTGCTTCTATAATAGGGGATGTTATCGTTTTTAGAAAGCTACTGGTGTTGTAATTATTGGAATTTAGTTGATCGAACTTTTTCAAATAGATGTTTTTTTAATAATGAAGCTGATGATCATGAATAAGCAAGTATTGAATGGAATCTCACCTGTTGTAAATGTTGGCGTTAGCTTTGATCTGATGTTCTTCCATTTTTCATTTTTCAAGTTAAATAGATTTCCAGTTATAGCATCCGCATCTTCGTTAATATAACCTACGCGATTAACGAAATGTGAGAAATCTTTCTGAAGAACGTTCCTGATCAGTTCCTGATCGGTAACGATAAGTACCGGCGAGAAGAAATCATAAACACCACCAAATTTTTCGCCTCTCGATTTGAAATGACGATAAAATCTTTCAAATACTTTGCTTCTATGGTC